CACCGCAGCTGCTGGTGCTGGGAGCAAGCTCGGAGCCTGTTTTGGCAGCACCGAGTCACCCAGGTCAGGGGGGCTTTTCCTCACATGTGGGGTGCTGCTGCCATCCTCGGTGCCCTGCTTCTGGCTGCTGAGCCCCAGGGCAGGTTTCCCTTCTTTCTTCAGGGACAGCACAGCCTCCAGCTCGTTCCTGATTTTCATCACGCTGTGGGGCTGTGTGGCAGTGTTGCTCTCCGGAGCGGGGAGCACCACGCTGAGCGAGCTCCCCTTGGCACTGAGGGGGCTGCTGGGCACCTCCTTTTTCTCGCTCTCCCCTCCCACGGGTAGCTGTGTGTCCTTCCCAGCAAGCTGGGGCCCATTGAGACTGGGCTCGTTGCTGCTGGCCCAGTTGGTGCCGCCGGACACGGGCTGGGAAGCAGCTAGGGCCTCTCCTTCTGTGGGGAGCGCAGGAGGGCTGAGAGCTCCTGCCGCAGCCTGCTCAGGTTGCTGGCATCCCTCCAGTCATCCTCACAGGTCGGATAGTCCGGAGGGGGAAGGTCCAGGTCATTCGCAGAGAGAGATTCGGATTTTGGAGGAAAGTCTCTCTCAGCTGTTTTTGGTTGGGGAACCTTCTCCGGCTCAGCGCCCGGCAGCGGGGACCAGCAACCGGCAGGATTCATCCCTTGGCCAAGCCCTGGACCTGGCTTGGGGCTCAGCGGTGGGGGATTCGGCACAGCCGGCTTCACAACAGCCTGTCTCAGCAGGGAATTTCTTTGCTCAGCTTCTGCTCCTCTGTGAGCCTTGGCCGCAGGCCTTATGGTGAAGCAGGGTGGGAGTGGAGGCCGGGCGTGAGGCTGCCGGGGGAAGGGCTCCTTTCGGACAGGCTGGCTCTCCTGCACGGGGATGGAGGAGGAGCGGGCTGGGGCTGGTGGGGGCACCTTGAAGGACCTGGGGAAGGTCAGGTGGGGCTCGTGCTTGGGCTGCAGGGTCTCCTTCGGGGTGGGGGCAGTTGGCACCCCAGCCTCGGCAGGGCAGAGCGGCCCCTCAGCATCCGCCTGTCTCGTGTTCAGCACCGTCTCAGACTTCCACTTGGAGATGACGGTGGTGAAGGGCGCTGGGGCCCGGCTAAGCGGTGAGGCTCCCGGCGGGGCTGGTGGGATGAAGTCTGGAGGAGCTGGTGTGCTGGGGGAGGACAGGGCAGAGGCTGGAGGTGGCGG